TGCAGGAAGCCTGCCCTTGGCAGTGTTTGTGGCAACCGGCAACCCATCTGCAGTGTTCCAGATGAGCAGGGGAAAGGCAGTCAGCCCTTCATTCTTGTGCCACCGTGGTCCACTATGACTCAGAGCTCTGCTGGCCAGGAGCCAGGGAAACATCCTTCTCTCTTCAGTCTTCAGTTTCCAGGTTTTGGTTTGGTTTGAAAAACCTTACTGCCTTGACTGCAGATCAGACACAGGCATGCTGTTTAAATGAATTTCCTCATTAGGGGACACTGGAGAAAAGAAGACCTGACTTTTGGGCTGCTTCTCTATGAGCCATAAGGGCCAACTGATGTGGAACAGTAATCTGATAAATGAGATGCGAACAAGACTGAGTTCCTATGACTGACTCTAAAGATGAGTGAGCAATAATAGATCACAGACTCACATAATAATAGAAACATTTAGGTTGGAATAGACTTCCAGGATGATCAAGTCCATCTTTTGACCAATCACCACCATGTCAATAAGTGCCGTGTCCAGTTGTTTCTTGAACTCCTCCAGGGATAGTGACTCTACCACCTCACTGGCAGTCTGTTCTAATGCTTGACAACCCTTGGCATGAAGAAATTTTTCTTGATGTCCAACCTGAACCTGTCTGGTGCATCTTAAGGCTGTGTATTTTCATCCTGTCACTAGTTGCCTGGGAGAAGAGGTCAACCCCCACCTTGCTACAACCTTCCTTTGGGTAGAGGTAGATTTCTCAACCTAGTTTTTATCTTTGATTGTTGAGGACAGGACCAGATATGATTAGTACGGAATGGAGAATGGACCAAGTCAATAATTTTAAACTGCAGTTGTCCTGATATTAACTAAAAATGTATGTGTCGGGCAGAAGCTGCCTAAAATAGAATAGCTTTTGCAGGTTTACTGAAAACAATGATTCTTTTCCATAGGAAAAGAATGGACAGGAAAAGATTTTCAAAAGCACAAAGAAAGGTATCGCTTTTTGTCTTATCATTGAATGAATTGAGCTGGAAGACACTGCACATCCTTTTATAATTTTGGTTTTTGAATGTTCAGTGTTGCACTGAGCACTTGTTTAGCCACAATAGTTACACAAAATTCCAAAAGCTCAATAGTATGAGACAGATGAAACTACATAGACCTGATCTTCAGAAAGCAGATTAAAAGGCTTTCAAACTTATTTAATCTGTTGTATAAAGCCTAAAGACTTATTTAAGTCAACGTGTGACTGATGGTAGAATCCGACTGTTGATTCATAGTTTCATTATAATAATAAACAGGTAAGCCTAAAGCAAGGATGATTTTGCACGTAGATAATTCATATGGACAATGATATAAGTGAAGAAGTCAGATTAAGAACCTCATGCATAAAAACTACAACAAACTTCAGTGCTAAGTGCTAAGGTAAAAATCACTTTGGAAGCACACTTGAAATCTGTTTAACTAATAATCTCTTCTAAAATTTAAAATGGACAAAGGCTTTACAATGAACAAAATATAGTCACATCATTTATTTAAGATTAAAAAAACATGTCTTCTCATCCCAGAACAGTGACTTACAAAATTCTTTCATCCCAGTGTCTTTCATTACCAGAGAAAATCCACTCAAATAAAGAAAATGGTCAGTAACCAACACCTCATAAAATTGCCTTCTCCTTCTGTATCATTGATGAATTCAATACCATCCCACCTGATTGATGCTTTGCTTCAAGGTATCTTACTACTTCAGGGACTAAAGGTTTGTCCTATTGTTTAATATTAAATATTAATAGGACAAAAATATTAAAATTCCTTACTTCACCTGTCTTCAGGTTTGGTTAATGCCCAGAATTAACTAATCTGGATATGCTGAGCAAGTCTTTTTCTAATTTTTGAGGCTAGTCAGGTTTACAGATCTGGACTGTCTTTACCTATCTCAACTGCCAGAAGTTCTCAAAACCCCTCTAATTAGCAAAATTGAACAAAGCGTTGTGAGGGAGGAGGTCGCAGTGCTGCCATCTCTCCATTTGTCTAGTAGCTCTTTACTGTGGGATAATTACTGTGATCCTGCATATGCAGATTCCCACGAGAGGGCACTTGAGAGCAAGCTTTGATTGAAGAGAGAAAGTATTTTCCTTGTTTTTCTCAGGAGCTGCTTTTCTCTGTCTGCCTATCTTGCAAAGACTAAAGGAAATGCCATGCAGCAGGTTGCAAAGGCTTCCAGTACTCCAGTGCTCACTCTTCTAACAAGAAAAAAATGCTCTTGGAAGCAGAAGCTGCAAGAAGACTCCCTGGTCCTCTCAGGACTCTTTCAGCTGTTTTGGGTGTTCCTGCTCTGCTGGCTTTTCTTCAGCAGAGGAGTTTCTCACTCCACCCAGCCCTTCTTCCTGCCACACGCACAGCATTGCCTCTTTCCAGCTCTGTTTCCAGGGAAGGACCAAGCTCCTCTACCTGTGGCCAAGGCCATTCAAACAGGCAGCTGTCTTCCTCCTGTCCAAAGCTGCCCTTCCAGCAGAGCTTTAGTGCACAAGGCATGTGACACCAAATAGGATTGATGCTGCCAGGCACAGAGCTAGTAAACAGCAAAAGAAACAACCAACTAGACCAATTTATGCCCAACCAGTTCAGATGCTAAAGGTTAACTTTATTTGGAAATGAGTTTTAACATGCTAGGAAAGCAAAAATGTGTTTAAAACAAACAGAGAAGTAAAAATCAGTCGTATACATTTACTTGACGTTTTCAAATTTCATTTCCTTGATCAAGTCTCGTCAGAAGAATATAAGGTGTGATTGACAGGGCATTAGCAGATCTGTTGGTGAACTTTCTAACTTGTTCCTCCATGTAATCAGAGCTAACTGTTCTAATGAGCTAACTGTGCTGTTAATGGCACTTCTCTACATTGCTTAAATATTAAGAGGATAAACAAACAGTTCCTATATATACACTGTGTTTCCTTTTGCCCTTAACAAGCTGAGTATATCACTGCTACTATGACAATAGCCTCTTGCACCATTTATACCATTCTTGGACCACTGTTTGCTTTTCTTAGAAGGTAGGAGCTCAAATATGCAGTATTTTGCATTGAAGAATCTTTCTAGGGACACTGAAGCAGATCCTGGAAGACTTGGAGAGAGCAGACCTAATGAGATCCACAATGACTGACTGCAAATTAATTATACGAACAGCATGAGCACAGATGAAAATATTCAGTGTAATCAGGAGGGTCCTTGTTCCTACTTCTATTTCCAGTCAGTAGAGTGTTGGATTTGCTTTCTTCTGGGAGCTGTCCTATCTCACAAACAAAAAAAAAAGCTAATATGAAGTGAGATCAACAGCATATTTTTGATGAGAAGTCTCTCACATAGGAAAGGCAGGAGAAAATAGAGCTGTTTCACAATGGCGCATTATGCAGTCATGTGACCTTCTATGACTTCAATATAAGCCTTAAGGTATCCATTAAAGTCTACTTATAACTTACTGGTAACTGTTTTTACCATTGACAGATCCTGAATCCCTTTTGTCTTGGAATTAACAGATATGTCATTGACTAACTGTTTGCATCAGTATGTCTTGGTGACACACACACATTAGTTTATAGTTCTGGCTCTGTAATGTGGATTCTGTCATATCCCAAAGTAGTGTAGCTGTATTTTCAAAGGAACAACTTTTCTTGCACATCCTTGTTCAAACTGACTGTTAGCAACTTACTACAGAAAAGCTAGACATTTTCCATTTTGATTCTAGCAGTATAGCACAAAGTTTTCAAAGCTCCTTCTTTTAAAATTATTGCATTAAAACTTCTTCTCTTGTATAAACAAATACTTTGCAATCACCTGTGTTATTTTCAAAATTGATATGAAATAGACATATCACATGCAAACTCGTGACAGCAAAGACAGTTATCAAAGTAAAAAGGAGAATAAGATCTTGTAGGAAATAGGGCACATCTCAGTTTTGTAATGCTGAATAATATTAGAATATGTTTGCATGAATCAAGAAAACTCACAGATGTCTGTGGAAATTGCAACTATTATTACTTTCACAGATTCTAAATCTCTGTGTGTCATCTTACATTCCTTATGTTCCATCTTCCTATTTTTAACCATTGACAAAATATGTATGAAGTGCTCCTAAACTGTCACTGGTGTTACTATCAACCTGAAATGCTCTACTTCTAACCTAATTTTGCCTCCTCATCCTTCATTGATTTTTTAACTTTTCTAAGTAATAGATCCCTTTCAATTTTTTTTCTTTCCTCTCCAAAGATTTTGAACTCTTGTACATATCTGTTTAACTTTTTATTAGAACACCTACTAACCATGTATGATTTCTTAGACTGCCACTACTTGTCTTCCTGTTATCACTTGTGATTAATGATGCTCCATTTGCCTCCCTGAAATCAGCAGCTTAAAGTCAAGGTGTTCCAGCCTCCAACATAATTGTTAAAATGGTATATTTTTTGAGACAGTTTTATTGATTTCCCCATGATCCTGTTAGCTGCTTCTGGCAGAAAGTAAGGCCATGAAGACTATTCATGATGCAAGAGATATTTTCTTAAACCTGTTAGACACACAGATAATTGTGCAACTTACAAGCTATTTATCATGAGGATCTGATGGCATCTTCCTTGAAGAGAACAAAGTGTCCTCCTACTAAAATTGTGTTCATTTTTTCATCTCAGTCAAGTATATCTCATATAAGATCTTCTGAAGAAAAATAGCACCAGCTATAGCTACCTGCTCACCTATGTTTCATAGGTTGGGTGTTTTCTGAACACTTTTTTTTCTAGGCAAAATACAGTTTTGCCTTCAATTAACTAATCAAATAGCAAACATACACTGCTTTCATTTATTACCATATTGGGAGGGAAATTAAAGCAGATTATCAATCACACAGAAAACTGAGTTGAGTTTTTATTCAGTAATGCTAAAACACTGAACAAAATGCAAATAATTTCAGAAAAGAAAATAAATAGTTTAGCTATTTAATATCTTTCCAAGGTTAAAATAAATCTTACCAGTGAATCCTGGAGGACAAGCACATATGTAGTCCGCAACTAGATCTAAACAAGTTGAATTGCTTTTACAGAAGCCAAAAGTGCACTCATCAAAGTTGATTTCACAGTTCAGACCTTCAAATCCTTGGTTAGAAAAAAAAGCAGAAAAGAGCTTTACATTATTCAGCTATATCTGTGCCTTATTTTTCTAAAGCATGTCTTTGGGTTCCTTGTTTTCAATTTACTCTTGTAAAAAATAATTTGAAGTTTTATGGCTAGATCATTCTAAAAACTTTTTCTGCTCTGTCATGAATTGAAAAATGCATTTTTCCATCAAAATACTTTAAAAAGAGATAATAAATGAAAATTATTAACAAATTTAGGATTTTGGACTTATTTTGAACTTGTATTTTAGCAGAGATTTAAGAATTTATGTATCTGCTGCCATTTTGACAACATTGCAGATTAAGTGATCCTGGGATTTGGACATCTGTTCCCAAAATAAAAGTCAGCTCTTAAAATCTCTCTTAAAATCAGCTCTCAGTTATTTCTCTATTTTTTCTTTATTTATTTCACAGTATCACAGAATTATCAAGATGGAAGAGACCTTCTAGATCATCCAGTTCAACTACCAACCCAGCACCACCATAATCCCCCCTGAACAATATCTCCAAGTGCCACATCCAGATGCCTCTTGAATACTTCCTGAGATGGTAACTTCACCATCTCCCTGTGAAACTTATTCCAATGTCTAAGCACTCTTTTTTTTTTCAAATATCTGATCCTAACCTACCCTGGTGCAACTTGAGGCTATTTCCTCTCGTCCTTTCACTTGAGATACGGCAGAAGAGGCCAACCCCCACCTCACTGTAACCTCCTTTCAGGTAGCTGTAGAGAGCAATGAGGTCCTCCCTCAGCCTCTTTTTCTCTAGACGAAACAACCCCAGTTTCTTGTGTCATAGTGACTTTTAGCAACCTCAGAAGTCCAACAGCGTTTTTTTGTAGTTGATTGCTAGAGAATCTCCTCTCTAATATCTGACATTTTATGCTTTTGTAAATGTATTCTAATTCATGGTCATGCTACAAAATGACTATCATTAGTGCTGTCAAAGGCCATGGCTGCAGGAAGACCATGACTAATGCTAAGCTACTGGCACCCTCAGTGCAAGGCATATTCTTATAATTTCTCAAACTGACCATGGAACCAATTTTCACTGTTCCTTAAATCATAAAACTTTAGAATTACCCTTAATTCATTAATAATGTATAGAATAACAGTTCTTATTTGCATTTGGAGTTTAATCAGACTCATGTCTCACAGATAACAAGTAAACCACAAAATTATCAATGTGGATGCCGAGATTTATTTTTATAAGCTGGCGAGGCAGTCTAAACAGCAGAATGACCTTTTCCAAGGTTAATTTTCAGCTACCTTCCAATGTCTGTTTTGGCTTCTAATTTAAGCCAATTAATTACAGAGGCTGTGCTTATTTGTGGCAATTTCATCTTTTGTGATGAGTTTCTGAAGTTATCACCACTGGAATGCTGATATTAATATACACATACCCGAAATATTGTAAGCTATGAAATCACTTCCCATGATCATATACATAGAAAAGAGTACAATTCAAAGATTAAAATCAAAAAAGTTAAAACATAGAAACAACGTAACAGATTTGCTTTATTTTTAAATAAAAATTCAATTAAAGTAAATCTAAACCTAGAAATATTCAGAAAACCCATTTGTGAAAGTATTTCAGAATGACACTGTAATTTTAAATGTTTTGAAACATTTTACTTTGACTACTTTTTTCTTGATATCATTCAAGAAAATGACTACTTTTTTCTTGATATCATTCATAGAGTTCTGATAACACTGAGAACTGTGTATTTTTAAAGAAACAGACTACTGGTGCTGAAAATCACATTATTTTTGTCTGTGAAAATTTTAATAGATTTTTGTACTGGAAACCTATTAAAGTAATTACTATGACCATTGTCATTTGCTTGCTAGACTCAGAAAGCTGCCCATTAGTAACTCAGGTTGAAATAATTTTTTTATAAGTTTATTGATTATACTTTCCATGGAATTAATGTACTTCTCATTTATCTTTTTTTCACTCCTTTGGACTGTGCTGCAATCACAAAGTTCTGCCTGGAAAAAAGGTCCCACTTCCAAGTATATCTGTCTCTACTCTTAATGAGCATAGTTGTTTTGGTGGGCATATTGTCTCAGTAAGGAAAGATGTAAATGAGACTTTGGAAAAGAATTATAACTTTCACAGAAAAGAAATTTTAACGATGGCTTTGAAGGCTGTCAAAAAGTTGTTTTGCAAACTGCAGACAGTTTTGAAAATTGTCAAAGATAATAAAAATAAATTATTTTCAACAATTTACCTTCCGGGCAAAAACAATCATAGCTGTTGACATCATTCTGACAGACAGCACCATTCAAGCAGGGAGCAGAATCACACTTGTTCATTTCTGTTTCACAGTATCGACCTGAAAAACCTGCAAAGGAAGTAGGATAAGTTTTGATTTTCTTCATCATTATGTGTGCTATTAGCATAAAACCTGTACTTCAAATGTTGTTCTGTATCTAAAACCAAGAGGTGTTATGATCCATATTCCCCTGAAAAAGGAAACCTGAAGTTAGAGCTTCTGTGTTTTATTTACAAAGAGTTAAATTTTACTAATTTCTTATTCAATATTTTAAATATATGTCTTTATTGATGGAATAAAGCAATAAATTAAGCAGGACGAGCTACCAGAAAGAAAAAAGAGGTTCATAGCAGCATGCAAACTAGATAGAAATTTTCAAGTGTTTTGCTTGCATTAGAGTCATTTTAGTACTTTTGTGATAGAATCACAAAATGTTTTGGGTCAGACTGACCTTAAAGATTAACTGGTTCCAAGCCCACTGCCAGGAGCAGGGACACCTTCCGCTAGATGAGGTTGCTCAATACCTTTTCAGAATTTTGCCATGTCAGTATAAGAGAGTACATCAATTATCTCTCATCCATCTTCTAATCCTTACTACTGTGGACAGGAACAAAACAAGGAATACCAATACATCGAGGCGTAGCAAAGATGTGCCGTGTGAGTCAGGCCTTCAGGATGTGTAAAGTGCCTGGCTCAGTTACTGTGGTGTGTGTTGCTAAAAGGAGTTGTGCATGTTGCTAAAAGGAGGAAAGTGGGTATCAGTAAAACAAAAATCTGAAGACTAATTAGGCTTGCATAAGGAAAGGGAAACTCAGTTTTCTCATTTCTTACGGGCACTTTGACACACCGCGGGGTGCTGGTGACCCAGCTGGGGCTGCAGAGGGTTCTGTGAGGGGGGGCCGGGGCTGTCCCGTGCTGGGCACAGCCAGTTCCAGCCGGCTCCGACCCACCCATGGCAGGGCACAGCTGAGCCACAGCCGAGGGGAGGCACCTCGGGGGAAATGTAAAGAAGCAGGGATGGGGAAGGTTGTGGTAATTTGTCTTTGGTTCTCACTACGCAAAACTGCATTAATTGGCAATAAATGAAATCAATTTTTCTCAATTTGAGCCCCCTTTACCCATGACAGTAACAGGTAAGTGATCTCTCTGTCTTTTTATCTACCCATAAGCTTTTTAATCTTTTCTTCTCCCCTCATGCTGGTGAGAAGATAGGGTGAGAGAATGGCTGGGTAAGGGTCTGAGAACCAGCCACCATACATCTACAGCTTTGTTCTGTGTTAATTCCAAATATCACCACTAATCTTTGCACAACCACTGGCACATGCTGTTTGAGCAGAAGAACAAAAACATAATCAAATCATTATAGTTCCTAAAATATATTTTAAAAATCCATAAATAACATAAAAGGGGTCCTTTTGAATATTTTTATTCTCTTCTTCTGTTCCATGTCTTTCCATGTATCTTAGTGTAATTATTTAAATGGAGAAAAAGCATTCTTTTCTGTATGAGGTTTCCAGGAGCTGAGTTGTGAAAGATGTATTGTGAAAGCATGACATACTGTTAAATGGAGGTTTATTTATATATTTTTTTTCTTAAGAAATTATTTTTAAAAGTGCGAAATACAAATAAATCAATAAATTAGAACAGTCATATGTGTTAGAAAAGAAGGATGATTTTATGTATTTTCTTATTTTTATGTCGTTTCAACCTTATTTCGTTTAGAAAACAAATTCAAAACCCTTCAGAATCACCATGAATTGACAATCTATGATGCATTTGTGAACACCAGAAAAAATAATTTCTATAGAGTTGATATTTATGTCAGCAAAATGACAACAAATGCAGATAAGAATGTTATGTCCCAGCACAATCAGCATATGAGTCCTTTTTCCTCTTTGTTGCAGAATTTATTTATGAATTCTAATATAAGGGTAGGTTCTCACATAAGATACCAAGCACAACATGCCCAGAATACAAGAGGAGTCAGATATCAGACACGCCTTCAAAGAATCTCCTTTTCATTCTTGTCTTAGACAACTTATTTGGAAGTCATCACACAACCACCAGTATTTGGAGTGTTATGGATTATTTAATATCATATATTTCCAATGAGTCTACCTAAGTATCAATGAAAATGTAGATAATTTGAAGTAGTTAATACATTGATTGCAGAGGGTACAAAAAATGTAGATTATTAGGAGGTAAATCATAATTTTGTTCCTAATTTAAGAGTTGCTATAATTTATCAGCATTGCTAGTTGTGCTGTTGTATTTGGAAATATGATTAGTCACTACATTTTGATACATTACTAATCATTGATGATAAAAGTATCATCCAGAGATTAGATTTTTGGTTAAGAACACATTATTTTTCCAAAAATCTTTCTTCCTGGCGTGAAACACTTTTTCCACTTGCAGATATCATAGAAGGAAAACAAACAGTGCTTTTCAGGTGGAAGCATTGTTAAGGTCAAACCAGGGAACTCTGCGCTGTCCATTCCAAGTTATTTTTTGTCATTCTTTGCATTGTGGAACTGACCTCAGTAACCTAGGATTTTCCCCCTTATCCTAAATTTCAATGTGTTTTATTTTCCTATCACTTGAGTATCTAATAACAGTGTTAATTTTCAAAAAAATGGAAGTATTGTAAAATTAGTATATAGAATTCAAGTCCTGAATTAAATTTGTCTAATTTATCTTTC